GACGGTACTTCCAGATATTCGGTATTTTGATGATTTTAGCGACAATATTAACCGAAATTGTTTCAAATTTGCTATTTGAAGTTCGTAATAGATACTACGGCTTAAGACAGAAAATGGGCCATGTAGGTTCAGGTCTTAGTACAGTCCCCATATAACGGTACCTCCCGATATTCGGTATTTTGTTGATTTTAGCGACATTATTAACCTGAATTGTTTCACATTTATTTTGAAGTTCGTAATGAATACTACAGCCTATGACAGAAAATTGTCTGTGTAGGTTCACGTTTTATAACCCTCATGGTACCTCCCTATATTCGGTATTTTGATAATTTTTATAATGTAGCTATAAACAGATTTTTTTAAGTTTCGCATTTGCATATTGTAATAGCTTGTGACAAAAGTTGCCTATGCAGGTGCACGTCGTCGTGTCGACCCTAATATACGGCCACATTCGGTATTTTTAAGATTTTAGCAGAATTTTTAACGGATCTTATTTATTTGAAAATTGCCAAATTTGGTACAAATGGTGGAGGGTATACAACTGCTTACAGCTTTTTCACTTGTTTTTTTTTTTTTTTTGTTTTTTTGAAATTTGAAGAATTAGTCTACTTAAAGTTCTAAGATGCAATAAATATGACGTTTTTTCGTATTATGGTTGGAAATCTGATATGATGGTATTCGGGTCACTGCTGGTTGGTGTGGCTAAAATGAAGGGGTGGTTTTTAATACGAAAAATACTGAATTGTATTAAATTTGCAATTGGGTGAACGGATAGTGTTTGAAATGAAAAACTAAAAAGTATCAGTCAGTTTTTCCGACAGAAGGATACTCTCAGCCAATGTTCGATTATTTAAATATATTTTGACTTCTGTTATGATTATTCCAGCTGTTGACTCTCTATGGAGTAGGTTCTCAATGAATGGACCAATATTGTCCATTTCGTATCAGACCAAAAAAAATATTATATAAATATTGCCACGTGCTAGGTTTGGACTATATCGACTTATTATTTCACTTTATATAAGACTAGCTGGTCAAGTCCGCGTTATGACCTTCAAACGGCCAATGCTGCCCGAATGTTGATCTGCGGTTTGTTGGCCCATTCCCGGTTAAGCCCATTTTGGTACCTTTTAGTGTCAACATTTCATTCCAAAATATTTCAGACATAATAGTCAACGAATTGGTATCCGGAGATTTTGGTGGCCATTGTGCGCTGGAAACGAAGCAAGGAACCTCATTTTGTAACCATTCTTTTGTGGCGCGTGCTGAGGGCTATGTCGCTGAGTCCTGTTGGAATGTCCAAGGTCTGCGCACAAAATGTTTGCGTACTCAAGGCCTTAATACACATCCAGAATATTTTCGCGATTTATTTTGATACCACGGTCGATTAATACGAGTGGAGAGCGACCATCGGCTGTTATGGTAGCCCACCATGAGGGGTCAGCTGAAAATGTGCACCTTCGGTTGGTCACAGGAACTTAAGCGCCGGCCATGGTGATGGGGCCGGCGCTTAAGTTCCTGTGACCAACCGAAGGTGCACATTTTCAGCTGACCCCTGTAGCAAGAAAAAACGATCAATTTCTTTGTTTAAAAACTGCTGGACAACGAATGTTTTTTCATCGGAGAAAAAAAATCTACAGTTCACCACTTTCGGTCAAGCGAAGCAACTCTTTAGCTCTTCTAAGTCTATTTTCTTTATGTTGCAGTGTAAGTTCGTGCACTTTTTGGAATTTCAATGGCTTTACCCCGAGCTTTTTTTTTCAATATTTGCCGAATGGAATATTGTGATATGTTGAGCTCACGAGCCATTTTTCGGCCACTGCGACGCGGGTTTCGATCAAGTCGCTTCTTTACTTTTTGAACCATTTCTGTTGATGTTACTGTTTTCTTCCGTCCACTTCCATATAAAGAAATCACACTATCACGCTTGAATTCCATCACAAATCACTTTTTTTTCTGGAAAATTTTCTTCAAAATACTCTTGTACGCTTGTAAACAATATAATGAAGTATCACTGGAATACTTTAACATGCAATAAAAAATTGCAAAAACCTAAATATTCTCATTCTTAGTGGCATATTTTTGTGGGATTTTTTATATTGGGAGCTTTTTACCTAACAGGCCATTCTGAATTAGTGAAAATTATCAATACCCATCTGGCAGCTCTTGAGATATAAGTGGTCTAGCTAAAACTCCCTTTCTTCGATATTTGAGATTATGTTATATCTTGGATATGAGCATTAATGTAACGATCAGACCTGATCTTTTCCTGTATTTGAGATGTCGCTGGAATTAAAAATAATCGCGGTTTAATGGAAATTGTTGAATTTTCTAACATTAAAGTTATGTTCTGTTTCACCCGCTAAATGTTATACGATGATTATAAAATTGGTAGGCCCTAAACTTTAGTCCAATGCGAAACTCTGAATCGATTGGCTTATAGTTCTGACCTCTAGAGCAAGGATAGGCAATGAATTGTTTTGGATTTTCTGTTAAAATGGGTTTGGTAGAATATTTAGTTTAATTGTAGCAGACAATGAGTATGGTGCTGGCGGGTATTTGGCCAACGACAACAAAAAAATGTTTTCAGTTTCATTTCGATAGGGAATGAGAAAGTTTCTAAATATCCTTTTTGTTTTACACATATCTATAAAAAATTGCTGCTATTTGCCGGGTCACTTATTAACAAATTTGCCTTAAACCATTATATCAATATACATAGCTACTAGAACCGTCCATGGCCATATGGGCTAGGTGGCTATAACTTAATTGCATATAAATTAAGAAAAAAATAAAAAATAAAATAATATTTAATAAAACTTTATGGATACATCACTTTAAATATTTTTTGACGTCATTCGTGGCGTCTTTGTGTAACACCGATTTTTTTGCTTTTGCTCAAAATATGAATTTCTACGAACAAAATTAAAGTGGTTACCATAAAAAAATTAAAAAAAAATATTTCTCACTGTGTATAGAGAGGCAGAGAGACACTTGCAATATTTTTTATTTCAAAACACATACAATCACAAAAAACAGGCTCTCCCTGTTCTAAAGCAATTTTAACATCAGAAACCGTTTTTGTGTTTGGTCCATTTCAACGTCTAAATATTTTGCGATAGTGTCGCCCAACAACAGGCTTCTATTCTGGCGTTAAACCGACCTCCATGCAAAATTTCATGAGAATCGGCCCATAATTGCGACCTGTATTATGATTAAAATTTAACATAGACTATCGGACGGACGGACATACTTATCTAGATCGACTTAGTTCTGGGAGATGGATGGATATGTCTTTGACCAATATTTTGAGATGTTACATAATTATTGTCCCAATCTAAGTTATAGTGTTGTACGGTATGATTACCACTATTCGGTATATACCCACCTTGGTTTCAGTACCTGATAGATTTAAGCGAAGTTTGCGAACAAAATCGACGTTAATTGGATACAATATCGAGTGTTGGTTTTGTCGCGCAATCACCTTACTCGACCTTTTAACCAAAAATCAGTTTTTATACCCTCCACCATACTATGGAGGGTATAATAACTTTGTCATTCCGTTTGTAACTCCTCAAAATACTCATTTCAGACCCAACAAAGTATATATATTCTTGATCAGCGTTCTAAGTCGATTTAGTGATGTCCGTCTGTCTGTTGTAATCACTCTATCTTTCAAACGTATTGAAAACACACATGTTTATTTTTCCAGTAGGCAGGTTAAGTTCGTAAATGGGCCATGTAGGTTCACATTTTCATATAGCCCCCATATATCGGTACCTCCTAATATTCGGTATTTTGTTGATTTTAGCGAGATTATTCACCGGAATTCTTTCAAATTTGGTTTTTGATATTCGTAATGTATGCTACAGCCTATGACAGGAGATTTTCTGTACAGGTCCACGTCTTCGTACAACCCCGATATAACGGTACCTCCCTATATTCGATATTTTGATGATTTTAGCGTCATTATTCACCGAACTTGTTTCAAATTACGTACTTAGAGTTCGTAATGGGAACTACAGTCTGTGACACAAAATTGTCTATGCAGGTCCAGATTTTCGCTTGGGCCCCATATATCACTACCTCTCTATATTCGGTATTTTGACGAGTTTAGGTACAATACCCAGCGAAATTGTTTGAGATGTCGTATTTGAAGTTCGTAATGGATGCTACAGGCTTTCAACGAAAATTGTCTATGCAAGCCAAGGCCTTCGTATAACTCCGATGTAACGGTACCTCCCTATATACGATATTTTGATAATTTTAGCTATATTATTCATCGTTTACTTCAAGTTTCGAATTTGAATATGGTAAAGGCTTATTACAAACAATGCCTATGTATGTTGGGGTCCACGTCGCATAGACCCCAATATAACGGCTATATTCGGTATTTTAAAATTTTAACAGAATTTTTTTAAGGATTTTATTTTTTGAAAATTTCCAAATTCGTTCCAAATAGTGGAGGGTATTCAAATTTTGGCCCGGCCGAACTTACTGCTTTTTAACTTGTTTCGACTTAAATTTCCCAATCTAAAGATCCAGTTCTGCAATCTTGTTATTTTATGAAATTTTTTAAAATTTATTAGGAAATTCGATTTTGTTCTATCAAAACAATGTGATGACGCTTGGGACACTTCAGCCGATAAATCAAATTCTTCCAAAAATTTCTTCCAAAAATTTTCAAAACATCCAGCGTATTTCCGCAAAATATTTAGTTCCCCTTCCCAATGAAATCAAAGGTCAATGCCATTTTCAGTGTGGATATGGAAAAGAATAGTCAGTCCATGTCATTGGTTTATTGTATTTGGCATCTGGTGTGACTATTTTGGCGCACCACCACTCATTGCTCACAAATGTGTGTTCAGGCTATCCCTCATTCTTTCCATTTTCTTTCTACGTTCGCTAGCCTCTTTATACTCTCACATAAATATACAATTAACTTAAAAGCAATTCACTTGAGTACCCCACCAGAGGAAAATATTGAAAATTAATATTTCATTTCGTTAAGTTTTGTCTAAGTGAACAGACAGACCAGGCAGGCCGCAACAAAAGAATTCCGCACAAACAAAGAAATAACGGCCAGTAGTTCTACATGCAGATATAACCGATACAGCGGAACGCTTAAGAAAATCGGAAAAAAGGAAATACGAGAAGAAGAAAACATTTTATTTCAATTATTTCAAATTGTGTGTTCGGTGTTACATCTCCGCGATTGTCATGGCAAAATTAACCAATACATTTTTATTGATCTGTTTAATATTCAGCGTAATGCTGATGCTGACCTGTCTACCCCACTCCGTTGAAAGTGTTACGCATTCGAATCAACATTGCAAAGAGCTAAGTAAGATTTCACAAAATTAGATAAGATTATCGTTCAAATTGTGTGTTGACAATAAACCTAATTATGTTTGGTGTGATCGTAACGACGATGATGATGTTGAAATGGATACTGAGGATGAGAATGTGGCTGTGTGTGTTTGTGAGTGTATGATAATCTAACTAAGGATATTCCAGGCATTCATATTTCACATGAATTACCAATTACCTATGGCATATTTACTAATGGTTTAATAACTGTTATCTCTCTACTGACTTGTGTTCATGGCCAATTAAAGATAAATTCAGCAAAACGTTGTATATGTGTGTGTGTGTATATACGCACATACATAATATACATATGTGATGCTTCTTGAGAAAACTGCAAATTGTCTGTAATTGTGAGTTCGTTTCACACAAATCCAAAATGTGTTCTTACTCATCAAAATGTCAATTTCCAATGAATCTCATGTCACTAAATAATATTCTGTATTAGATGTCTTATTAAACATCTGTTTTAAAGTGGAAATTTTTTGTATTGTGTTATGAAGTGACGCGAGTAGCCGGGTAGATGACGCAAGTGACATTCCAAGTGAATCATCTCGAGGGGTCTGGTTTTTAGTAGCTACAATTCTGGTGACTGGAGCTAAAAGGTTGTGAGAGGTGCAAGCATAAATGTATTGCATTGTAATTTTGGGTAGACCTTTAAAACATTTAGGGTAATATTTTTTGAGATTTTTTTTTTAAACTTCAAAGGATATTGGATAAATAGGATAGGATAAATAACACGGAATTAAAAGTGGCTACAATATTGAAGGATATAATAATTATTTAGACTAGAAATTTGTCCAGCGCAAAAATCAAAAATCTTCTACTACTGACTAAAAAAGTTCTTATGTTCATCGAAAAACTCCAAAATTTCAAATAATGTATTTTTTATTTTAACCAGAATTTTCTTGGAAAGAAAATTATTTATTTTCTTTGTATTTTGAAATTATCTATTTTATTACATTATTTTATTAAATACGGGTTCCCGACCTTCCGTGGAGTATATCGATCTTATTATCTCGCTGGGCTAAGTTCATCTAGATCTGCGTATCCGTCCATGATAATTTACAATTAATCTACTGGTCGCAGTTATGGTCCGATCTGAAATGTTGAGTTTTCTTATTTATTATAATTATAATTATTATTATTATTATTATTATTATTATTATTATTATTATTATTATTATTATTATTATTATTATTATTATTATTATTATTATTATTATTATTATTATTATTATTATTATTATTATTATTATTATTATTATTATTATTATTATTATTATTATTTATTTTTTTTTTTTTTTGAAAATTTTGGCAAAATATTCAAAATAGATGGCGCAACAAAAATTTGAGTGGTCTCGTGGATCCGGTTCGAAGATAACCCTATTACAGGACTATATAATATTATTTCAAGTTAAAAACCATAAAGAAAGTCTTAGAGTCAGGCGGGCCCGACTTTATGATACCCTGCACCATTTTGCTAACTTAGTAGAGCTCTACATAACAATTAAAAGTTTTTCAAAAGACTAAATATGCCGAAGCAGTTGTAACTTTCAAATTCGGACTTGTATTGCCCATTTGATATATATGAGAGCTATAGCCAAATCTGAACCGATCTCGATAAAATTTGGCAAAGATATTTCTGAGCTATATTTGATATATTTCCCTGAATATCGTTGTTACGGAGTGCATATTACGGCTGTGGGTAACAAATACAATAAATCGGATGAACAATATATATGGGAGCTATAACTATATCTGAACCGATCTTCACCAAATTTGGCATACTACCTTCTAGACTAAATTCGGTCGTATGTGCCAAATTCCATCCCATTTGGACAAATATTAGACGTTTGGTGCACAATAAATGGTAAATCGGACGAAGTTATATATGGGAGCTATATCCAAATCTGAACCGATCTCGATAAAATTTAGCAAAGGTATTTCTGAGCTGCATTTCATATATTTCCCCAAATATTGTTGTTACAGAGTGCATATTACGGCTGCGGAGGACAAAAATAACAAATCGGATGAACAATATATATGGGAGCTATAGCTATATCTGAACCGATTTCGATAGAATTTGGCATACTTATTTTCAGGCCTCATTTGGTTGAATGCGCAAAATTCAATACTATTCGGGCTGATATTACACGTTTGGTGCACAATAAAAGGCAAATCGGACGAAGATATATATGGGAGCTATATCTAAATTTTTACCGATTATCTCCAATTTCAATAGGGTTCATCCTTGGGCCAAACAAATGTTGTTTGCAAAATTTCATCTCAATCGGATAAAAAATGCGACCTGCATTTTGTTCACAAGAATACATGGACAGACGGACGGACGGACGGACAGACGGACTGACATGCATAAATCAACTCAGAACGTGATTCTATGCAGATCATCAAAAGGAACTATGGGTCTATCTCGTTTCCTTTTGCCTGTTACAATGCACAAAGACATAATACCCTGACCACCTTGTGGTGTAGGGTATAAAAAGCAACTTGTAAAGAATATGCGACTTGTTTATCAAGTTATGACAGATATAAGTATTGGAAATTGGGGCCCTTTGTGGGTGAGTTACCAGAAGGGGTTGGCAGATGTATATCATCTTCACAAGAGGAAGATACCAGAAGGAAAAGTCCGATCTCTGTCATCTTTATAAAAAATCTTGTGTTGATGGAAATATTGAAATGTGCGAAGTCTGAATGGAATCGGATGTTAATTTCGTGTTTTATGATCTTCATGAATATTTAAAATTTTGACCCTTTGTGGGTGAGGTAACAGAAAAAAGGCATCGATAAATCCCATTTTCACAGCAGATCTTGTGTTAGTAGAAATAAACGGATATGTGAAATGTGAAGAGAACCGGATGCTTATTTCGGATTTTATGCTCGTTTTGGTTATTTAAAATGTGGACTCTTTGTGGGGGAGGCACAAGAAGGAACGGTCCGATGTCTACCATCTTTATAACGGATTTTGTGTTGGTGGAAATATTGAGGTGTATCAAGCCTGAATTGAATCGGTCGTTACTTTCGCGTTCTATGAGCTTCATGGATATTCAAAATTTTGACCCTTTGTGGGGGATGTACCAGAAAGAGAGAACCGACATATTCAATCTTCACATCAAGAGCTGGACCCTTGTTCTATGAAAATATTAAATGAGAAATATTCCCTTTATAATATTTTTCATTTGACATTTCTTTCCTCTATAAAAGTTTTTATTCCACATTTTCATAGAACAAGAATTGGGGCCCAGACCTTGGTTTAATTAAAATTATTGTGATGTGTGTAATTTGAAGAGAACCGGATATTTATTTCGGTTTTTATGATCATTTTGGTTATTCAAAATAGTAACACCTTTCTCTACCATTTTTATAACACGTCTTGCGTTGATGGTAAAATTTGGTAAAATGTTGACCTTTTGTGGTGGAGGTACCAGAAGGAGTGTTCCGATATATTACATCAGACCTGGCACTGATGCAAATATTAGTATATGCAACGATGGAGCAAAATCGGATTATACTTTTTCTTTCTGTGCAGTAATTTATTTTCTTTGAAAATGTTGACATTTTATGAGGCAGGTACCAGAAGGAGAGGACCGATATTGCATACCTCTGAACTCGATCTAAATTTGACAATTATATTACCATGCACCAACTTTGGATCAAATCTGATACTCCCTTCGAGGGTTATCGTGCGCACCAGCCTGTCTGGCTGACGGACGGACATCGCTAGATCGATTCGGTATTTTGAAGATTTTATGTACAATATTTAACGAAATTGTTTGAAAATTTATATTTGAAGTTCCTGTATGCGATATTTCGGTATTTTTTTAGATTTTAACAGAATTTTTAACGGATTTTATTTTTTTAAAAACTTGTTCCAAATAATGGAGGGTATTCAAAATTCGGCTCGGTCGAACTTACTGCTTTTTTACTTTTTTTAGTCAACGTTTCTAATAAACCAGCTGACATTAAGCGAGTAGATGTGCTCCTAGCAAAAAATCTTCAATGTTATATCAATTTATTTTAATCCCTCGCAAAGAACTGTGGAATGCCAATTTAAATATAACCCTGATTTCCGGTACTTTGATTTTTTTTATTATCGATATTGCAATATTAGCATGCTGGTTTCTAGGCTCAATTTGGTTGTGTACACGAATTTCCATTCTATTCGGACTATTATTACACATTTGGTACACAAAAAAATGGCTTGTCGAATAAATATGTATATTGGAGTTATATCTAAATTTTGACCGATTATCTCCAATTTCAATAGGGTTCGTCCTTGGGTCAAACAAATGACGTGTGCCAAAATTCATTTGATTTTGTTTAAAAAAAATACATGGTGCAGGGTACACAAATGTTCAATACAAGCATAGCCCCATACATAATTTCAATTTTTATACCCTCCACCTTGGAAAGGAGGGTATATTAACTTTGTCGTTCCGTTTGTAACATCCTTAAATATTTGTAGTCCCCATAAAGTATGTATATTCTTAATCAGCATAAAATTCTAAGTCGATTTAACGATGTCCGTCTGTCTACCTGCCTGTTGAAATCACGATACAGCCCACATTATTTGACGTAGAGCGCCAAAAATTAGCAGAGAAATTTGTATTGTGTCTAGGATGGTTGGTATTGAAAATGAGATGTATCGGTCCACGTTTTGGTATAGTCCCCATATAACGGTACCTCCCGATATTCCGTATTTTGATGATTTTTTCCATATTTTTTCACGGATTTGTCTAAAAAGTGGTATTTGTAGGTCATAAAGGGTTCTAGCTCCGGTGGCGAAACATTGTATGTATATGTGTCCACGTTTTGGTATAGTCCCCATATAACGGAATCTCCCGATATTCGGTATTTTAATGATTTTTGCCACATTTTTCCACGGATTTGTCTGAAAATTAGTATTTGTGGTTCATAATGGATTCCATAGGTCCACGATTTGGTATAGCCCCCATATAGCTTCTTCTGGTACCTTTCTCACAAGAATTCTACATATTGATTTTTTGCATAAAATAGGGAATTAATGATTCCGATTTTCTTTCAATTTTGCACATCGCGAAATTGCACATAAGAAATGGACCCACTCCTTCGGAACCACACCCATAAAGAGTCAACAATTTGAATAATCGTAATGCAAGGTTGTGGGCTCGAAGATTTTAGCCTTAATTTCCAATAAAAAAGAAAAAAAAGTATTTGATATAACCGTCATATAACACAACCTCCTAATTTGGGTTCTTGAAAGGTTTCTGGCACAATTTTCATTCCTCCAATGCTCCAATTTTTTTGTACTCTCAGAAATTTTTTTTCTAATCACTTCCTAATCAAAAGTGGCCGATATCTCAAAATTATTTTTTTTTTCATATCGAATCCATAAAGCTCAAAGTTATTTTTTCTGATTAATCTGTGACAATGCCATATCTTAAAGGTACAAATTTCTTAAGATTCCAACTAGCCGTAGGTCTCTGCTGAAATTATGCACTTCAAACATTTTTAGATTTTTTTACACTTAGAGAACGAAGTTTTCTCCCAATATTTATTCACATGCTAAGTGTCCTACGATGGGTTACCATGGTATTTTTCGTTACTTTCTGTGCTCTTAACGGACACAGTTCTATCTTTAAATGTTGGATTATTAGCACTCGTATCCCTATTTTAAAAAATCCTGGCTCTTATAGATTTCTTGATAAAATGTTGTACTTTGAAGAACTTTTCGAACTCTTTTAGTATTTTAAAAATCTGTAAATAAATAGTAAATATAAATAATAATCTGTGTGTATTATACTACCCCCAAAAATGTTTTTTTATCACTGCATAACGAATCCTATTTTGTACCCTTAAAGAACGATATATTGTACAATTTTAATAACTAAATTCTAGAAGTTCTAAAAATATGCAGTTTCTCACCACTATACACATCTCGAGAGATTAATAAGAATGTTATAAAATTTTCTACCTTTATCACTTGTTATACCTTAAAACGCAAGAATTTCTGAAAACCTCAATTTGTCGCACCCATTCGCACTAAGATTGACCCTTGCGGTAAATTTCTATCTTTAGGTTCAACTACTCTCCCTGGCCTCGGTCAGTCACACACAATTTTATCAACAATGCAACAATTGCTTATATATTGATATTCACTTATTAATTAAATTTTCTTCATTTCCAGATCAATTCAATTGCTATTCGGGTAAAAATGAAGGATACTATTGCAACAGCAAGGATCAGACGACGACACAAATCAGATGGTACTACGACAAGGGGACATGTCACAAATTCAATTACAAAGGCTGCAATGGCAATCGCAATCGTTTCTGCAGCAAAGAGTCCTGTTTGAACCGGTGCTATGGCTAAATTCGCCATAAATAATTGCCACAGTAAAACATTTATTTTTTTTACAAAATACTTTTTTAGAAATTATAAAAACATTTAAACAAAAATAAATATTATTACCAAAGGTCTGAAATCATTGCATTGTCTTATGTGTGTGTGTGTGTGTGGGCATGTGAGTGTGTGTGTGTTTGTTGCGGTAGTGATTTATACTCCGGCTGTTCTAAACGTTGCCGAGTCTATTATTGTTGATGGCCAGCCAAATCATTGCCAACCATTCCATGTGGCTTTTATCACCTCAACGCGTCAGCCAGCCAGCGAACGAACGAAATGTTAAAGGAATGTGACAAATTGTCGCAATTTTATGGGTGTCAACTGTTGTGTCTGCGTACAAATGTACATATGTACATGTATAGACTAAATTACATAAAAGGCATATGAACATTCGAACATACGTATGTGTGTATGTATGTAGCTTATGTGGTACGTAGACAATGTACAGATATCACATAACCCACCTAACCAAAGAATCAACCAAAAATTTGGCCATTTTAAATGGCACAGCATTTAACCCATAAACCTGCAACAATAACAAAAAACATTCACACCAACGGCACGGGTGGAGAAAGATCGACAGTGGAATGCTCTATAGTAAATAAAGATTAAATATCGCTTATTTGCGACAAGATTCTCTTAATTTAAAAAAGTTCAATCTGTCATATACTGCAGTCCTGCATTGATTACAAATAAAATTAGGCAATATCTATAAAAACCAGTTAAAAAGCGGTAAGTTCGGCCGGGCCTATCTTTGAATACCCTCCACCATTTGGAATGATTTTGGCAAATCCCAAAAACTAAAAAATCCGTTAAAAATTCTGGTAAAATCTTTAAAATACTGAAAGTAGCCGTTATATTAGGGTCTATACGACGAAATGGACCTGCATAGACATGGGCTTGCACAGACAAATTTCCGTCATAGGCTGTAGCATCCGTTACGAACTTCAAATACAAATGTTAAAACATTTCCGGTGAATAATGTCGCTTAAATCGTCGAAATGCCAAAAAGTAGAAGGTATCATTATGTGGGGGCTATACCAAAACGTGGACCTACATGACCCATTTTCAATACCAAAAGTCCTGCAGACATAAGACATATTTGAGTAAAATTTTATCAACCTACTTCATTTCGTTCGGAAGTTAGAGTGATTTCCACAGGCGGACAGACGGACGGTCATCGCTAAATCGACATAGAATTTTATGCTAATCAAGATAGATATATATACTTTCTGGGGTCAAAAATGTATATTTCGAGGAATTACAAACGGAATGCCAAACTTAATATATCCTCCATACTATGGTGGAAGGTATAAAAATTATTATACCCTACAACCTTATGTGTTGGGGATATTATAAGTTTGATTGGGCCAAAAATTATGTAACACCTCGAAATGTTGGTTTCCCACATAGGAAAGTATATATGGATCTTCCTATCTCGCCGAGCTGAGTCGATCAAGCTGTGTATGTCCGTCCGTCCGTCTCTCCGCCTGTCCATGTTAATTTGTAATCACTCTACAGGTCGCAATTATGTCCCAATCATCACATCAAAATATATATAATGTGTATATACAAAAGAAGGGGATGTTAGCTAGAATGCTTATATCTCAGGAATAGCTGGACCGATTTTCGGAATTCCCGCTTGGCATAAAAGAATAAAATCTGAAAAAATCGCATAAGAAGATGTCAATAATGATGTTAATATAGATATTGTAGTATTTTGTGACATTTTTTTATTTTTTCATATTTTTTATCCCATGCGATTTTTTTCAATATGACTTAATATTGAGGTGTATATTTTCTAATATTTTTTCACCATACAACACAGGTTGGGGTTATTATATACAGATTGCAATTATCGTCCGATCTTCACGAAAATTTTAATAAGGGTAGGGTTAGGCTGAGACGGGCTAGGCCTATTGTCTTGGCATCTTCAAACTTCGTTGGTGGAAAATTCCTACTAAATGATACTAAACCTGTGTTTTTGGGCTACAATTTTACATTGTTCACATAGAGGTCACTCTTAATGCGGGACACTTAATAAGGTGGGCTTTTTAGAATTTTTTACTAGAACAGCTACAAAACAAGTTAAAAAGTATCAGTCGGTTTTTCCAAAAGATGTATAGCCTCAGCCAAAGTTCGTTTATTTAAATAAGATTTGACTTCTCTTATGATTATTCAAATTGTTGACCCTCTGCGGAGTAGATTTCGTGGGAATGGGCCTATATTGACCATTTCGTATCGCACCTAAATAAAATTGACATAATTATTGCGATGTTCAGACTGCTGTCATCTCTAAACACTCGGCCGACCGAGCTGTTAAAATTATTCCAGTGACAGCTCATTATATTATTTACAAGCCTACAAAAGCATTTTGGTGAGAATTTTCCAGAAAAGAAGTTATTCGTGATGGAATTCAAGCGTGATAGTGTGGTTTCTTTATATTTGGCTGGAAAACCACAACTGGCTATCGTTAGAGTACTCCAGCATTTAAATATGAATAAATCTTTTCTGTCTCGTACCGTCGATCGTTACCGTGATACTAGTAGCATAGCCCGACGTCGAGGAAATGGACGGAAGAAAACAGCAACATCAGCAGAAATGGTTCGAAAAGTAATGAAACGACTTGATCGAAGCCCGCGTCGCAGTGGCCGAAAAATGGCTCGTGAGCTGAACATATCGCAATATTCCATTCAGCAAATATTAAACAAGTAAAAAAACTGTAAGTTCGGCCGGGCCGAACTTTTAATACCCTCCACCAGTTGGTACAAATTTGCCAATTTCCAAAAAAAAACCGTTAAAATCTTAAAAATACCGAATGCTTATACGACGACGTGGGCCTGCATAGGCAACTTTTGTCATAAATTATTACAATATTTAAATGCGAAACTTGAAGAAAAATCTGTTTATAATGTAGCTAAAATCGTCAAAATACGGAGTATGGGGGGTACCGTTATATGGGGGCTATACGAAGACGTGGACCTGCACAGACAATTTTCTGACATAGTATGGTGGAGGGTATAAAAATGAGCTCGGAGCAAAGCCATTGAAAACGTGCAAAAACTTAAACCGTAATAGAAAGAAAATAGATTCAAAAGAGCTAAAAAGTTGATTCGCATTGCCGAAACGGGTGAACTGTCGAATCTGGTTTTCTCCGATGAGAAAACATTCGTCGTCCAGAAGTTTTTAAACAAACAAAAGAGGTCAGCTGAAAATGTGTACCTTCGGTTGGCCACCAGGACTCAAGCACCGGCCGGTGATGGTGTGGGCCCCCATAACAGCCGATGGTCGCTCTCCGTTCGTATTAATCGACCATCAGAATAAATGCCGAATATTATAGCAAAAATATTCTGGAGGGTGTATTAAAGCCTTGGGCATGCAAACATTTTGGCCGTAGACATTCCAACAGGACTCAGCACGTTCGCACTCAGCACGCGCCACCCAAGAATGGTTGCAAAATGAGGTTCCTCGCTTCATTTCCAACGCACAATGGCCGCCAAAATCTTCGGATACCAATCCGTTGGACTATTGTGTCTGGAGTATTTTGGAAAGCAAGGTTGGCACTAAAAACTACCAAAATGTCGATCGATCGATCAAGTAAGCGCTTCACCGGGAATGAGCCAAAATACCGTAGAGGAACATTCAGGCAACGTGTGAGGCTTCATTGGCCGTTTGAAGGCCATAATTCGTGCCAAAGGCGCCCAAATTCGAACAAATCTAAACTTATTCCGAAATTTTTTGCGTTCATTCAGTAAAATCTAAAAAAAATATATACAAATTATGTTGTTTGACTTAGTTGCAGTATATAAAAGTGAGGGACTTAAACAGCAAATCGGATGAAACATTTATATGGGAGCTATAGCCCTAATTTTTAACACCAAATATGAAGTACTTCTAGGCTGAACCCTTATGCTAGGAACACAATTGGAGCGAACGACGAATTTCGCCCTACGCGGCGACAAAATGAGCCGCGAAAATTCGTCGTATGGAACACAATACCGACGAAATTATAAAACAGCTGATGAAGTTGTTTACTTTTTGCTCATTTGTTGACTACAATGAATTATACAAGAACACACAATTCTTTACGTTCTCTATTATAATTTCACTTATGTCCATCTTCTCTATTATAAATTCACTGATATCCATCTTCACTCAGGCGCAAGTACACAAATAAATAAACAAATTAATTATGTTTTTTTTATACGAGTAACAGATAGTAGAGTGACCATAACAAATTTTAAAGTAAAAAGTAACATTATTTACTAAAACACATAAAATTCGTACAAGTATGGCCACCTTGTACTATTTTGTTCGCCGGTCGCCGGCGTATGAAATAGAAATAAAGCTAATTGAGTTCGCGGCGACCGACGAAATTTTCGCCGGTGCCGTGATTGTGTGCACTTCCATATACACATATGTGTTTTATTTTTGACGACGAACATACGCCGCGAAAAAATTCGTCGTTCGCTCCAATTGTGTTCCTAGCATTATGTGTCAAACTCCACTCCATTTAAGCTGATATGAAACATTTGGGAGTTATATCCTTATCTGAATCGATCTACATAACAATTGAGAGATCTTTATCTGAGCTCTATGTTATATTTGGTACCAAATGTCATTGTTGTGGAGTGTATATTATGAATGTGAAGAACTTTACCACAAAGGTTTTCGCCAAATTTGACTCACCGGGCCGAACTTTGAATACCCTCAACCAACTGAAACAAATATGGACATTTTCAAAAAAATAAAACCGTTAAAAATTCTGTTAAAATCCAAAAAATACCGAATGGACCTGGGAAACTTGAAAAAAAAAATCGGTGAATAATGTAGCTAAAATCATCAAAATACCGAATATAGGGTGGGTCCAGTATATGGGGGTTTTACGAAGACCTTCACAGAAAATTTTCTGTCATAGGCTATAGTATCTCTTACGAACTGAATAATGTCGCAAAAATCATGAAAATACCGAATATTGGGAGGTACCGTTATATGAGGCTTAAACGAAAACGTGGACCTGCACAGACAATTTTCTGTCATAGGCTGTAGTATCAATTGCGAACTTTTAA